TCACCCCCAACAGCCAAACAGAAGACTGGGACACTGCCAGCTTCTGGTGCTGGCCTGGGCTGAGCTAAGCCAGGAACGCCCTCCCTTCTCCCTATCATCCCTCCAGACACTGGAAATGTAATCCATCCAGGCCTGCCTGAGCACCCACCTCCTCTGGAAAGCCTTCCTGAAAGGCCTTAGCCCACAGGGACTGTTTCTTTCTTTGAGCTCCATATTCTGACTGTACTACTGGAGATCGCCACTTGGATTTCCGTTGTTTGTGTACATCTTAGCTCTCCCACTAGATACTAACCTGAGGCAGAAACCACTGACTGCTTTTCCTTTATATTTCTGCATCAAGGCCAAGCTTAGGGATGGGCATACGGGAGGAACTCAACGGATGCTAACAGTGGTGATGATGATGGTAGTGGTACTGGTAGTGACAGCCACTATTAATTGAGCACCTACTACATTTCAGGTTGTTTGTATTTGTTTTTTCATACGAAACTCATTCTATGTACAGACGAGGAAACTGGAGCACTCAGAAGTCAAGTGACTTAAGTATTGTCTTGCATCCGGTAAGTGACAGAACCCAAGGTTTTATGCAGGTCTCTCTGGCTCCAGTCACAAGTATCTCCATCAGCCACATGCCAGGCACAGCCTTTATTCCTGAGAGGGACACAGAGATGTCTGCAGCTCAGTCCCTGATGTCAAGGAATGGTGTTGGCCACAGCAAAGACCTGTGGCTCTGCGTCTTTCCTCCTGCTCCCCTCTTCTCATCTCAAGGCAAGTCTTTTCTGTTTCACCATTGACAAAAAGACGGATTGCCCAGGCCAGATGAGCAGTCTCCCAGATCCTGTAATACATGGAGGCGATGGCTGGCTAGGACGCTCCTACAGACATCAGATGCTTGAAAAAGTCAAGAATCCAAGGCCAAACAGGGAGATTCCATCAGAGATCCCACCAGTCTCCCACAGGAATCGGCATAGGTGAGTCCAGTTCACAAACACTGCTGGGCCTCACCTGGGAACCTGGCAGGTGTTAGGACTTGAGACTTAAAGAGATGAGAGAGACACCAAAGTCACTTCCCCTCACCACAAGCATGTTTGAGTAGAGGGTTCACCAGCCCGAGCCTCACCCTTGTCCATGGCTTCCGCGAAACATTTTCTCTCTCCAACCTGGTGACCTTGGAGGAAACTGAGGCAGGCCACTCTTACTTTCTCCCATCCCCATGGAAGCCACTCACCTGAGACGCTCTTTCAGTCACTCAGTTCTTAGTAGCTGTTGCTATGAAGAGTCTGCTTGGGCTAGTAAGGAAAAGAGCCCACTGTGGGGGTCTGAGGTGGTCCAACCGTCCTCTCCTTCCCTTGCCTCCTCGTACCATTCGGGTTTTAATGAGGCCCCGGCTTGGAGTTGACAACTCTGAAAAGCAGCGAGCCCAATCAGACTCCCAGGCATATTCTGCAAGGATTCGAGCTTGCAGGTTTCAGGATGGACTTTCCATGGACACTTTATCAGGGGTTTTATTTCCAAAGGGGATGACTGGTAACACCTGCTTTTAAAAATGTCCAGGCTGAGATTACTGTAGCTAGGCAATAAGGTCCAGGACTCTGTGACTGTGATTACCCATTTTTCCTCCTGTTGGTGCAGAACAGAACAGCTTCCTGCAGGAAATTTCAGCCCTGCCAGCGGGGCCTTCCAGGACCCACTGCTGGGCAGGAACACAGTGGTCTTCCTCGCAGAGGTGTGTGTGCCCTCGCTGGGCAACTCAGCTTTCATCAGCAGCTGACAATCTTCCTTATCAACCCAGTTGATTGCTAAGGCTGGTGGGTGTGCACGTATTGCACGGAGCCTGTCACACAGAATATTTGCACTCCAGGAGCTCATTAGGGAAGATGGACTAAGGTGCTGCCACCTAGCATACAGCAAAACTCCACTTCCGGAAATAATGTTTCCAGAAGTCTCGCCTGAAGGTGTGCAGCAAATTTTCTTGACACCCTCCATGACCCCTTGGATTAAGTCAGGCCACTGGAGTCGATGGTCCCCAGATAGGCATTGTGGGGGCACACTCCACCCCTGTAGGTCAGCAGAGAACCATGAGTGGGACAAGGGTGTCACACAGTCCTGAGGAGCCTCTGGCATTCCCTCAAGAAGCTGAGAGCCTACTTCATGCGGTGGTGTAAAGGCTAAATAAAACATTTAAATAGCACGCGACACTTTGACCTCTTCACATGTTTATTAGACATTTCTGTCTGGTCTCTTCTTTGAGTATTTGTCTCCTTTGCTTTTGTGATTTTTTTTTAACTTGTAAGAACAATTTACATACTAAGAATATTCATTTTTGTTGGAGCTTTCTGAGGTTTAGAGCCCAAATTTTATTTATTTATCTATTTATTTATTTTGAGGCAGTGTCTCGTTCCATCACCAGGAGCCAGGCTGGAGTGCAGTGGCGCTCGGCTCGCCGCAACCTCCGCCTCCCGGTTTCAAGCAATTCTCCTGCCTCAGCCTCCCGAGTAGCTGGGACTACAGGCGCTCACCACCACGCCCAACTAATTTTGTATTTTTAGTAGAGACGGGGTTTCGCCATGTTGGCCAAGATCGTCTCGATCTCTTGACCTCGTGATCCGCCCCGCCTTGGCCTCCCAAAGTGCTGGGATTACATATTTATTTTTTTGAGACAGAGTTTCACTCTTGTTGCCCAGGCTGGAGTTCAATGGCATGATCTAGGCTCACCACAACCTCTGCCTCCTGGGTTCAAGCGATTCTCCTGCCTCAGCCTCCTGAGTAGCTGGGATTACAGGCATGCACCACCACGCTTGGGTAATTTTGTATTTTTAGTAGAATGGGGTTTCTCCATGTTGGTCAGGCTGGTCTCAAATTCCTGACCTCAGGTAATCCACTCACCTCAGCTTCCTAAGTGCTGGGATTACAAGTGTGCACCACCACACCAGGCCATTATTTTTATTATGTTACTGATTTTCAGATTGTTCATTTTTGTTGGTGGTGATGGTTTTTATTTATTTATTTGAGATGGAGTCTTGCTCTGTAGCCGAAACTGGAATGCAGTAACACAATCTACCTCCTGGGTTCAAGCCATACTCCTGCCTCAGCCTTCCCAGTAGCTGGGGTTACAGGAGCGCAGCATCACACTCAGCGAATTTTTGTATTTTTAGCAGAGATGGTATTTCACCATGTTGGCCAGGCTGGTCTCGAACTCCTGACCTCAGGCGATCTGCCTGCCTCGGCCTCCCAAAGTGCTAGGATTACAGGCATGAGCCACTGTACCCAACCTGTTTATTATTTTGTAACAGTTTTATTGCAATGTAATATATATACCATAAAATTCTACCCCTTTTTTGGAGACAGAGTCTTAGCTCTGTCACTCAAGCTAGCGTGCAGTGGCGTCATCACAGTTCACTGCAGCCTCCATCTCCTGGATTCAAGTGATCCTCCCACTCCAGTCTCCTGAGCAGCTGGGACTACAGGTGTGCACCATCATGCCTAGGTTTTTTTTTTTTTTTTTTTTTTTTTTTTGCCTTAAAACAGCAAACATTTATTATGTCACACAGTTTCTGAGGAGCAGGAATATAATAGTGGCTTTGCTGAGAGGTTCCGGTTCCAACTGTCTCACAAGGTTTTGGTCAATCTTGGCTGAGGATACAGCCATCTAAAGGCTTGAGTGAGGCTGGGAGATTCACTTCCAAGCCCACTCACACAGTTGTTAGAGACCTCAGTACCTTGTCACGTGGGGATCTCCCAAGGGTTACTTACGACGTGGTAGCTGGCACAAGACAGAGTGACCAAGATGGATTTTACAGTCTCATCTTGCAATTAATCTTGATAAAGTAAAAAATCAGTTATTCATATATGTGCATGTCTGCTTCTGGGCTCTATTCTATTCCATTGCTGTATTTTGCTGTCTTTATACTGATACCGCATTGTCTTTTTGTTTTTCTTTCTCTTTCAACTTTTATTTTAGATCAAAGGGTACATGTGTAGGTTTGTTACAAAGGTATAGTGCTTGGGGTATGATTGAACCCATCACAGGTAGAGAGCACAGTACCCTACAGGTAGCTTTTCAGCCCTTGCCCTCCTCCCTTTCTCCCCACCTCTAGAAGACTTCAGTGTCTATTGTTCCCATATTTTTTATTTCAATAGGTTTTTGGGGAACAGGTGGTGTTTGGTTACATTAATAACTTGAATGGCAATTTCTGAGATTTTGGTTCACCCATCACCCAAACAGTGTACACTGTACCCAATGTGCAGTCCTTTATACCTCAGCCCCATCCCACCATTTCCCTGAGTCCCCAAAGTCTATTGTATCATTGTTAGGCCTTTGCATCCTGATAGCTTAGCTCACACTTATGAGTTAGAACATATGATGTTTGTTTTTCTCTTCCTGAGTTACTTCACTTAGAATAATGGTCTCCAACTTCTATCCAGGTTGCTGCAAATGCCATTATTTCTTTCCTTTTTATGGCTACGTAGTATTCCATGGTATATATTTATATCTCACATTTTCTTTAACCACTCAATTGAAGAGCATTTAGGCTGGTTCCATACTTTTTGCAGTTGTGAATTGTGCTGCTATAAATACGCATGTGCAAGGGTCTTTCTAATATAATGACTTCTTTTTCTCTGGGTAGATACCCAGGAGTGGGATTGCTAGATAAAATGGTAGTTCTACTTTTAGTTCTTTAAGGAATCTCCACACTGTTTTCCATAATGGCTGTAATAGTTTACATTCCCACTAGCAGCACAAAAGTGTTCCCTGTTCATCACACCCATGCCAACATCTATTATTTTTTGACTTTTTTATTATGGCCATTCTTGCAGGAGTAAGGTGGTATTGCATTGCGTGTTTGATTTGTATTTCTTTTTTTTTTTTTTTTTTTAAGATTCAACAAAAAATGTTTATTTTCCAAATTTGCTTTTACTCCCACCCCAAAATTTCCCTGTTCTATAGTTCTGCCTGGGGCTCTTGTTATTTCACTCAGTCACTATACAGGTTTTTCAGTGTGTGGCTACCTTGTCCATATGAAGTTAAGGTTTGTATTTCTGGACCTCAGCTAGCTTAGGCCCTGCCCAGAGTTCTAGCATACATGGACTTCTAGGTGGGCTCTTAGGATTTTGCTGGGCTTTGGGGACCTGGAGTATGACCTGCAGAGGGGTGTGAGCTTTGGAGTTCATCTGGGGAATTGAGGTTGGCAGCTGGGGAGCGTGGAATTACGGTTGGACTTGGTGCTTGTTGTACAGTCTTTGTGATAGACTTCTTCCTGAATGTCTTCTGACTGTCTGGATCATGGGACTTGCCTAAGATTTCAGGACGCAGCCCATTGGAGGCCTTGAGTAAATCAGGATTTTTCTGTATCCATTTGGTAAGGGAGGCAGCACCAGCAGTTGTACGGGAAGTCAGTGTCACCCGAGCAGGGGGTATCTTCAGAGGCATTTGCCAGGTGCCCATGAAGGAACCCCAAGGATTTGCCTTGGAACGGGGCACAGAAGGCAGTAGATGACCACGATCATTGGCAATAATTTGAGTGTAGCCTTCATGGGAAGAGATATACTCTTTTGTTGGCTTAGTGGGAGACCAGTTCTGCAGATACTTGGATGAGAAAGCCTTTTCATACTGGTTGGCACTGTAGTTAGTGGCCATGATCTTGTGCTGTTTACACTTGTTGCTTGGCAACTCGTTTGATTTGTATTTCCCTGATTACTAATGATGTTGAGCATTTTTTCTTTTATATATACACACACACATATATATGTATATATAAATAATTGCATTTTAGGTTTTGGGTTACATGCGAAGAACATGCAAGATTGTTGCATAGGTACATACATGGCAAAGTGGTTTGCTGCCTTCCTCCCCATCACCTATATCTGACATTTCTCCCCATGTTATCCCTCCCCAACTCCCCACCTCATGCTGTCCCTCCCCTAGTTTCCCCCAACAGACCCCAGTGTATGATGCTTCCCTCCCTGTGTCCATGTGTTCTCATTGTTTAACACCCACCTATGAGTGAGAACATGTGGCGTTTGATTTTCTGTTCTTGTGTCAGTTTGCTGAGAATGATGGTCTCCAGGTTCATCCATGTCCCTACAAAGGACACAAACTCATCATTTTTTTGTGGCTGCATAGTATTCCATGGTGTATATGTGCCACATTTTCCCTGTCCAGTCTATCGTCGATGGGCATTTGTGTTGGTTCCAAGTCTTTGCTATTGTAAATAGTGCTGCAATGAACATTGATGTGCATGGGTCCTTATAACAGAACAATTTATAATCCTTTAGATATGTACCCAGTAATGGTATTGCTGGGTCAAATGGAATTCCTATTTCTAGGTCCTTGAGGAATCGCCACACTGTCTTCCACAATGGTTGAACTAATTTACACTCCCACCATTACTGTAAAGTGTTCCTATTTCTCCACATCCTCTCCAGCATCTGTTGTCTCCAGATTGCCATTCTAACTGGCATAAAGTGGTATCTAAATGTAGTTTTGATTTGCATTTCTCTAATGACCAGTGATGATGAGCATTTTTTCATATATTTGTTGGCTCATATATGTCTTCTTTTTTTTTTTTTTGAGACGGAGTTTTGCTCTTGTTACCAGGCTGGAGTGCAATGGCGCAATCTCGGCTCACCGCGATCTCTGCCTCCTGGGCTCAGGCAATTCTCCTGCCTCAGCCTCCTGAGTAGCTGGGATTACAGGCACCTGCCACCATGCCCAGCTAATTTTTTGTATTTTTAGTAGAGACGTGGTTTCACCATGTTGACCAGGATGGTCCCAATCTCTTGACCTTGTGATCCACCCGCCTTGGCCTCCCAATATGTCTTCTTTTGTAAAGTGTCTGTTCATATCCTTCATCCACTTTTGAATGGGCTTGTTTGTTTTTATCCTGTAAATCTGTTTTAGTTCTTTGTAGATACTGGATATTAGCCCTTTCTCAGATGGGAAGATTGCAAAAGGTTTTTCCCATTCTGTTGCTTGCTGATTCACTCTAATGACTGTTTCTTTTACTGTGCAGAGCTGTGGAGTTTCATTAGATTCCATTTGTCTATTTTGGCTTTTCTTGCCAATGCTTTTGGTGTTTTAGTCATGAAGTCCTTGCCTATGCCTATGTCCTGAATGATTTTGCCTAGGATTTCTTCTTGGGTTTTTATGGTGTTAGGCCTTATGTTTAAGTCTTTAATCCATCTGGAGTTAACTTTAGTGTAAGGTGCCAGGAAGGGGTCCAGCTTCTGCTTTCTGCACATGGCTTGCCAGTTTTCCCAACACCATTTATTAAACAGGGAATCTTTCCTCACTGCTTGTTTTTGTCAGTTTTGTCAAAGTTCAGATGGTTGTAGATGTGTGGTGGTGCCACTGAGGCCTTTGTTCTGTTCCATTGGTCTATATCTCTGTTTTGGTACCTGTACCATGCTGTTTTGATTACTGTAGCCTTGTAGTATAGTTTGAAGTCCAGTAGTGTGATGCCTCCAGCTTTGTTCTTTTTGCTTAGAATTGACTTGGTTATGTGGGTGGGCTCTCTTTTGGTTCCATATGAAGTTTAAGGTGGTATTTTTCAGTTCTGTGAAGAAGGTCATTGGTAGCTTGAGGGGGATAGCATTGAATCTATAAATTACTTTGGACAGTCTGGCCATTTTCACAATATTGATTTTTCCTAACCATGAGCATGGAATGTTTTTCCATCTGTTTGTGTCCTCTCATTTTCTTGAGCAGTGGTTTGTAGTTTTCATTGAAGAGGTCCTTTACATCCTTTGTTAGTTGTATTCCTAGGTATTTTATTATCTTTGTAGTAATTGTGAATGGCAGTTCGTTCTTGATTTGGCTCTATTTAAGTCTGTTATTGGTGTATAGAAATGCTTGTGATTTTTGCACACTGATTTTATATCCTGAGACTTTGCTGAAGTTGCTTATCAGTTTCAGGAGATTTTGGGCTGAGACAATGGGGTCTTATAAATATGCAATCATGTTGCCTGCAAATAGAGACAATTTGACTTCCTCCTTTCCTAATTGAATACCCTTTATTTCTTTTTCTTGCCTCATTGCTCCAGCTAGAACTTCCAATACTATATTGAATAGGAGTGGTGAGAGAGGGCATCCTGTCTAGTGCCAGATTTCAAAGGGAATGTTTCCAGTTTTTGCATTCAGTATGATATTGGTTGTTGGTTGGTCATAAATAGATTTTATTATTTTGAGATACGTTCCATCAATACCTAGTTTTTTTGAGGGTTTTTAGCATAAAGTGCTGTTGAATTTTTTCAAAGGCCTTCTCTGCATCTATTGAGGTAATCATGTGGGTTTTGTGTTTGGTTCTGTTTATGTGGTGAATTATGTTTATAGACTTGCATATGTTGAACCAGCCTTGAATCTGCTGGATGAAGCCTATTTGGTCATGGTGGATAAGCTTTTTGATGTGCTGTTGCAATCAGTTTGCCAGTATTTTATTGAAGATTTTTGCATCTATGTTCATCATTGATATTGGCCTGAAGTTTTCTTTTCATGCTGTGTCTCTTCCAGGTTTTGGTATCAGGATGATGTTAGTCTGGTAAAACAATTTGGGAAAGATTCCCTTTTTTTGGATTGTTTGGAATAGTTTCAGAGGGAATGATACCAGCTCCTCTTTGTAGGTCTGGTAGAATTCAGTGGTGAACCCCTTGGACCTGGGCTTTTTTTGGGTAGTAGGCTCTTAATTGCTGCTTCAACTTCTGCCCTTGTTATTGGTCTATTTAGGGTTTTGACTTCTTCCTGGTTAGGCTTGGGAGGAGGCAAGTGTCCAGGAATTTATCCATCTTTTCCAGGTTTATTAGTTTATGTGCATAGAGATGTTGTAATAATCCCTGATGGTGGTTTGTATTTCTGTGAAGTCAGTGGTGATATTCCCTTTATAGTTTTTTATTACATCTATTTGATTATTCTTTCTTTTCTTTTTATTAATCTGGCTAGTGGGCTGTCTATTTTGTTGATCTTTTAAAAAAAACCAGCTCCTAGATTTATTGATTTTTTGTAGGGATTTTTGTGTCTCTATCTCTTTCAGTTCTGCTCTGATCTTAGTTATTTCTCATATTCTGCTAGCTTTTGAGATTTTTTGATCTTGCTCCTCTAGCTCTTTCAATTTTGATGATAGGATGTCGATTTTAGATCTTTCATTGCTTCTTATTTGGGTATTTATTGCTATATATTTTCCTCTAGACACTGCTTTAAACGTGTCTCAGAGATTCTGGTAAGTTGTGTCTTCATTCTCATTGGTTTCGAAGAACATCTTTATTTCTTCTTTCATTTCATTGTTTATCCAGTCAACATTTAAGAGCCAGTTGTTCAGTTTCCATGAAGCTGTGAGGTTCCGAGTTAGTTTCTGAATTCTGAGTTCTAACTCGATTGCACTGTGGTCTGAGAGACTGTTTGTCATGATTTCCGTTCTTTTGCATTTGCTGAGGAGTGATTTACTTCCAATTATGTGGTCAATTTTAGAGTAGGTGTGATGTGATGCTGAGAAGAATATATATTCTGTGGATTTGGGATGGAGAGTTCTGTAAATGTCTATTAGGTTCACTCGGTCTAGGTCCGAGTTCAAGTCCTGGATATCCTTGTTAACTTTCTGTTTTGTTGACCTGTCTAATTTTGACAGTGGAATGTTAAAGTCTCCTGTTATTATTGTATGGGAGTCCAAGTCTCTTTGTTAGTCATTAAAAACTTGCTTTATATATCTGGGTGCTCCTGTATTGGGTGTGTATATATTTAGGATCGTTAGCTCTTCTTGTTGCTTTGATCCTTTTATCATTATGTAATGTTCTTCTTTGTCTCTTTTGATCTTTGCTGGTTTAAAGTCTATTTTATCAGAGACTAGGATTACAACTCCTGCTTTTTTTTTTAGCTCTGCATTTGCTTGGTAAATCTTCCTCCATCCCTTTATTTTGAGCCTATATGTATCCTTGTATGTGAGACGGGTTTCCTGGTTACAATACACAGATGGGTTTTGGCTTTTTATCCAATTTACAAGTCTGTGTCTTTTGATTGGGGTATTTAGCCCATTGACATTTAGGGTTAATACTGTTATGTGTGAATTTGATCCTGCCATTTTGATGCTAGCTGGTTGTGTTGCCTGCTGATGCAGTTTCTTCATTGTGTCAATGCTCTTTACCATTTGGTAGGTTTTTGTAGTGGGTGGTACTGATTGTTCCTTTGTTTGTTTAGTGCTTCTTTCAGGAGCTCTTGTAAAGCTCACCTGGTGGTGACAAAATCTCTGAGTAATTGCTTGTTTGTAAAGGATTTTATTTCTCCTTTGCTTATGAAATTTAGTTTGGCTGGATATGAATCTTAGGTTGAAAATTCTTTCCTTTAAGGATGTTGAATATTGGCCTTCACTCTCTTCTGGCTTATAGGGTTTCTGCTGAGAGATTCACTTTTAGTCTGATGGGCTTCCATTTGTGGCTGACCCCACCTTCTCTCTGGCTGCCCTTAGCATTTTCTCCTTCATTACAACCCTGGTGAATCTGATGATTATGTGCCTTGGGGTTGCTCTTTTTGAGGAATATCTTTGTGGTGTTCTCTGTATTTCCTGGACTTGAATATAGGCCTGCCTTGCTAGGTTGGGGAAGTTTTCCTGGATAATATCCTAAAGAGTGTTTTCCAGCTTGGATTCATTCTCTGTGTTACATTCAGGTACACC